ACCTCTCCCTTTGCCCATCCACAACTAAATTCTTTGCTCTTCTTCAAACATGCCAGACACAGTCCTGCATGGAGTCCCTTCTCCTAAGGATGTTCTTCTGCTGGCTACCCACAAGGGTGGCTACTTCTTCTGGGCTTTGCTTTCAAATGTCATCTTCTCAGTGTGTACCCTGATCATCCTGTTTAAGATTAAAATCGCAATGCCCACCTTCCCAACGGGCTCTCTATTCCCTCTTCTCTGGCACTACTCTGACAACTTCATATATAACATTTATTCATTTAGTGTGTCTCCCTCTGTAGAACACAAGCCAAGGACTTTTGTCTGATCTGTTCACTGCTGCATCTCTAATGCCTAAAACAATGCCAGACATAGAATAAACACTCGGGAAATAATTGTTGTATGAACTAATCAATGAATGAATAAATTCCACTAACAATCTGAGAAAAGAATTAGAATTTGTCCTATCCCACTGAATGAAAATTTCCATGGTACAGAAAAATCTAATGACTTACCAAGGCCCTAAAAATTGTCCTAAAGATATCACCACTCTAAAGAGAGTGGACACTATTGTTGCCCCAGAGGTCTGTCCCTGTCTGAGAGAGTCACAAATTATTTCACTTTCACACAAATTCAAGTCCCTTTCTTCATAGTGGGTCCCTGGGACTTGACTGTAAGAAGAATGGAAAAAAAATACACAAGACCCTTGCTTTCTTAGGGGTCTGCAGTACTTTAGTGTTAAATGTTTAGAGAAAAAAAGTACATAATTGCTAAATTATCTAAGCGTTATAGACTCCACTGATGAAGAAAGAAGTTTGTCTTCCTTTAATGGGGTGGTTCTGTGAAGAAGGAAGTAGAAAAAATATGTGAAGCAATAGGATGGCCCCAACATTGTCACAGACCAAATTACTAAGCACCTGGTTATACTTGGCACTAATTTAGGCATGGCCCTGCCCTAATGGAATGTTCTCGACACGTTCATAGCCTGACTACATCTATCCACACACACTGCACCTGAAAACTCCACGTATTCTGCAGTATAGATTGAGCGGGAAAGCCCCACCTTCACAAAACAGAACTGTATTAGCCACACCGCCTACCAACAGAGACCCTCAAACCAAGCATTGGCAGAAGCAGTAAGACCAAACCTTCTGATGGCCTCCAGGTGACAGGCGAAGGGAGGGACCCAGCACTGAGCTACAGGACTCCTTCACTCCCCAAAGGCTTCCCACAGACTTCAGAAGTTCAAACATGGCCTGCAAGGCTCCTCACAGGCGCACCTTGCCCACCTCTCCCACTCCATTACCATCACCTTTAGTCCAGCCAGGCTCTACTCCTAGCGGTTCCCAGGATACACCAAGGACCTTCGGGGCTCTGTGACTTTCCACCCACAGTTCTCTGTCTGAAAATTTCTTCTCCCACCTGTAGCTGGCAAACTCACACTCTCTCTATAGCTCTGCACAGGGGACTGCTCTCTGGGAAGTCTTTCCTCACCTACTGTTCCAACTTAGGTGTCCCTGCTCTGTGCTCCCAAAGTAATCCATGCCAACCTTGGCCATTGCTCTGTATGTGCATTACAGGCTATCCAGTGTACCCACTATTCTGAAGAGCCTTCAATGTGCAGACTGGATCTTTCAGCTGTACCCCTGATAACCAATACCCATCTGGGGCCCAGCATAAAGCCAAGTGATGATGGTTGACAAATGACTGAAAATCAGAATTCGGTTTTGGAACAGAATCTATAGAAAAGCACAAGATCTTTTTGTACTGCTTGAATTTATCAAGTACATTAAGTAAACATAAGTAAGTAAATGAAATGTAAATTATCTTCATGAGAATGAGCTCTTTAAATAGCTCTTTCACTTCTGAAATTCTTCCCAACCCTGAGCATGGATAAATACTACTGTCCATAGCTCCCCTTTGCCCAGCTGACCCTGTTTTCTCTTCCTCTTCAAACTTTTACCAATTCAAAAACCCAGAAAGGCAACTCCCCCATTGCATTAATTTAGCACCTTCTATTTCATCACTCTCCCCAAAGCCTAGTCCAGATCACTTTTGAAAACTCCATTCACCAGGCCAGCATTCTTCAGTAACACCCCAGAAGTTGGTTGTACTTGCCAAAACCAGACTTCTACATTGCAAAGTTCCAAGCAGCTTCTCCAAAACTAAATTCTAGCAGTCTTCTTCACTGAGTCTATGAATATGTGTCTCCTACCTTTGAAGGTTTCTTAAGAAAACCCATTATAATCAGACAATTTTATTAATCAGAAATTCTCTGAAACTCATCTTTCCATTATATTTTTAATAATAATCTTTCAAAGAAACAAAATATATTGTTTCAAAAACTATTAACTCTTAAATTTCAGGAATTTTTAAGACTTTACCAATCTCTCACTTTTCTTTTTGAAAGCTCTTAATGTTAATAGTTATTCTTCTCTAAGTCTTTCACTCAACATTCCTGCAGTGCTTAAAAAAGATTATAATCATAAGCCTTAAGATATAGGTAAGTGGGTGGCAAGTGTTATTAACATGTAAGAATGACAGTGTTCTAAATTTAAATAATGTCTAGTTGAAAGAAAATGTTAAGACTTGTCACAAGGTGGAAAACACTATTCATTTATAATGAAATTTGATGACGTTTTAGGAATGTTTTAGCTAACTTTTGAATTGAATTTTTATTTCATAGGACTTCTTGCTATTAAAAACCAAACTAAGGGGGAAAAAAGGACAGGACATGTCAGGATCCAACCTGAAAAAACTCCCAATGGCCAAAGCTGGAACAATTTGAGCAACAAAATAGTAATAGTATAGAATTATAACTTAAAGAGCAAAATAAATGCCTGTAAGTCCATACTCATACTGATATAAATAAATGATTAAATAAATAAGTAATTGGAGAAAAAGAAAAAAATAGTTTAGAGAAGTCCCATAATACCTGTAGAAGGAATAAGAGAAGTAGAAAATCACCATTGGAACACATGCAATAAATGCTGCAGGCAAGATCCAAGAGTGAATACTAAAATTAGCAAGCAAAACTTTGAGAAACAGGGGATTTGCTTAGTCTCAAAGTATCATCTCCAATATACTTATTAATTACCATGGTGCATTTAACAAATGTCCAAAAATTCCTTGATACTCTTTTCTCCAGGAGGTGGAGCTTAATTCCACTGTCCTTGAATGTAGTCTAAACTTAGGGACTCACTTATAAGGAACAGAGGATGAAAAAGGAAAACTAGAAACATTATTATAGAGAAAGCTGGCAGAGGTCACCTAACCAAGTGATCAAGGTCAATATCACCAGTAATAAGTCATGTTGGTATCATGAGATATTATGCTGTGATAAAAGGAGGCACTTCACCTCTGTGGTCCTCTTCCCCCAAATCTATAACCCCAGTTCAATCATAAGAAAACAGACAAGCTTAAATTAAGGGACATACTACAATATATCTAACCAATAGGCTTCAAAAGTATCGAGGTCATGAAAAACAAAGACTGAGAAAATGCCAGGAAGAGGAGACTAAGGAGACAGATGACCAAAAGCAACAGAATATAATAAAATCTTGGATTTGATCCTGGAACAAAAAAAGGACATTAGTTAAAAACTAATGGAACCTAATTAAAGACTGCAGTTTATAGTGTTGCACTTACGTTTAATTTCTTACTTTTGGCATATGTACTATGGCCATGCAAGATTCACACTAAGGGAAGCTGGGTTAAGGACATATAGGAACTCTTTCTACTATCTTTACAACCTTCTATACATCTAAAATGACTTCAAAATTTAAAGTTTTCAAAAAAATCAGTCTAGGGCCGGCCCGGTGGCGCACTGCTACAGTGTGCTGCTTGGGAGCGCGGCGGCGCTCCTGCCGAGGGTTCGGATCCCACATACAGACCGGCCGCTCACTGGCTGAGCGAGGTGCGGGCGCAGCACCGAGGGTTGTGATCCCGTTGCCGGTCCCAGTCTGGTACGGGCGCGACACTGAGGGTTGCGATCCGTTGCCGGTCACGAAAAAAGACAAAAAAAAAAGGAAAAAAAAAAATCAGTCTACCTTTTATCCGTAATGGAACAAACTGCTGATGTTCCACTTAAACCCTATCATGAACTTGAGGTATGGGCACGTACATGGCCCGTGTGTCATGATAAGTTCTTAGTAATTCTCACCTCGATAATTTTTATCAGTTTGACATCCCTGTGGTCATCATATGAACCACATATACAAGACAATGCCTTTCTCCTTATGAAAAATTTTGGGGTTTCATAGTAATCTACCTATACATTATTATCTTTATATATTGGTATATTGTATCTGTCTATAAATCATAATGCCACGTGTGACTTCTTTGAAAGTGTTCTTTTGAAAAAATAATTAAGAAATCCAAGTAAAGAGGGATAGAAATGTTTTAATTGTTGAAATATATTCATAAATTGAGTAATCTATATCACAGTACTAAGTAGATACACATGTCATTATCAAATTAAGAACTTCCCAGATATCCCACTAACCATCAATCACAGGTCCTGGAAAATAATATAGAATTAACATGATGAACTTCCATGATTACATGAAGGTAGAGTGGGAGACTCAACGGCTACACAGTATTTGTGGTTACATAAGCCACTGACACCAGAAAACAGGAATTTAATCAAAATGTGCATAGGGCATGCAAATTTAAGTAGTTCGTTTTTAAATATTACAGTGTAATATTGTTCCTAAAAAGGAAATTCTCTGACAGTTAAATAAGATTTGAAAAACAAATAGTAAAAAAGGGAAAGAGATAGTAGTAAGAATCAATTTATCAATTTTACAGCTAAAAATTAATGGAAGTAGAAATAGTGAAAGATAACAGACAAATATATTACTTTAGGCAATTCATTTATAGTGCCTTATTAACTTAACTGAAGTTATAAATAGAATAAGGATTCTGCTATATAAAAATTATCAAAATAGTATTGGTGAAGACATGACCTCCATGGGCTGTGCTGAATGACTGGGGTGCATGCTGTGGGCATGGCAGCTCAGGCTGTGCAGAAATGGCCTCGTGACAGTTGTTAACTTGGCTTTTGTGGGTGGACCACAGAAAGTTCCATGAACGGGTGTATTGTTTCACCAATTCCCTTCTATTACCACAACATTCAACATGTACCCATGGCTTTCACTATATGCTAAGATTTGGGGGAGCGAGAGAGAGGGCAACTATTTAGAATTTCCTCGGAAATGTCTGTGAACATTACAGTGTCCCACGGAGCCAAATTCCTTCCAAATGGATGAGGCAAGCTATGAAGACAACAAACAAAAGAAGAGAAAAAGAGTTAGCAAACTTGAAAAGGTACAATGTAGATAAAAATACATCAGCCTTAAGCCTAAAAATTATTTACTGACTTTCTTTTAAGTAAAGCACATATTCAACATTCACCCAATATTTATTTAATAATATGTGGCCAGCATAGTGCTAAGCATTTAGAATCAAAGAATGGGGAAAACTGAGGAGAGAAAGGGGTGATGACAATATATATTTATAGACAGGAATGTAAAGAAAGATTTTAGCTAGCTGACTAAAGTTATGTGGGCTGGCTTATCAGCAATATTGCTAAGTTTTTATCAGGGAATTTTAGATCCGCACACAAAGGCAAACAATCATCTTGTCTAACTCTCCCATGAGAAAACAGAGGTTGAGGGAAGCTGAGAGAGAAATGAAGGGACACGTCTAAGGCCTGTGCTAGCCGCAGAGCTGCCCCCTCTCCAGGTATCTATCCACATGGAACCGCTTTCCATTCTATTCCTATACTTGCTGAAATACATCCTGTTTCCAGGAGGGTAAACATTAATGTATGCTTGCTTTCAATTAGCTTATTTTTCCTATTTGATGCAAATAATACAAGTACTTCTACATAGGGGAAAACTTCCAGGGAATTCAGAAATCTATATGGAGGCTTAGAACTCTATGAAAAATAATAGACATAGAAATCTCCAGTGAATTACCAAAGAGAAAACCTAACACCCTAATGTGGTCATGGGTACTAAGGAATAAACCTCCATAATGGTGCCTTGATGAGAAAGTCTTCAAAGAAGTGGCAACCCAAAGATTGTGATAGTTTCTGCAGGAAGAAACTGGCAACAATTTCTGTGTCCCCTTTCCCCAGTAGAAAAGCTTCTTTGTTTTTACCAGTGAACTTATTCTAAAACCCCATCCCATCCTAAACACCAACTCCAGTACTGACCCTGGGCAAGAAGCTGGTTCAATATCAATTCAAGTATTAGATACTGGTCTGCAAATGGCTGGATTCTGGTTATTAAAAGAAAAAAATAATAATAGGGGGAAGCTCCCACTGAGAGCCAGCAGAAGCACGGGGACCTCAAGAGCTGAGGTCAGACCCTGCCAACAGCCAGCAGGAGCACAGGGACCTCAGGAGCCAAGTGCCGCCCCCACCAGCACCCAACAGGAGCACAGGGTCCTCAGGAGCAAAGAGCAGCCCCTGCCAACAGACAGCAACAGTGTGGGGCACCATCATGCAGGCGCTCACCACTGCTGCAAATACTGCTGCCACGCAGATGGTCCACCAAACCCACCACCCAAGCCACCTGTGCCACAAGGGCAGCCTGATGCCACTTCCACCACAAGGGGGGAGCACTGCCACAGTAGCAGCCACCACAGCCATAGCAGCCACAACCACCATGCGGGTGGCCCACTGACCACTTGACTGTATTGACACAAGAAGAGTCACTAACAGAGCTTAGGGAAAGAAATGAGCAAGTGCACACCAGTGGCCCAACCCACAAGGGGAATTATGCTGCCCCTGCAGTAGTGCACCTGGGTGTGGAAAGTACATACACAGCCGACAAAACTGCTTTGATCTGGGGAGAGACACACGTGGAAGCCCCAGAGTGCAGAAACCCAGGATACCCAAACACAGTGAGGAAGAAAATTCCCAACCACACCAAACCATCCCTCAACAACAGGAAGCCTCTGGGGAACCCAGAAGGAGCCTCTGCCTACAAGAAAGAGGAAAGAGAAACCCCACCCAGGCTCACCCATTCAAACTGAGGAAGTCCAGTATGCCCCAGTGCACCCATAAGGATAACAGGGCACTACCCGGGTGCCAACAAGCCCATCCAGGGTCACTCACACCAGCCAAAGAGTGACAGGGAACTCAGGTGCTCATCCCAAGAACTTGAGAGTTCACCCATGTCCTCAATGATCAAAAACACAGTCACCAGCTTCAGCAAGGAACCACTAAGTGCCGTTGTGCCAAGGTGACAGAGGCATTCACATGCAACTCCAACAATGAATATGGTCAAAGTACCCACATGGAGACTACACTACTGCATGTGCCCAGAAACAATACCAAAATACCCTATTCAATGGTCAATATGAAACACATTTACAAGAGGAAGTCGCTCTCCTCAAAGCCCTCTCCACAGTGGGAGAAGAAGCAACTACTCTACCAGAAGACCAGACCGTAATGTAGACTTACTAGAAATATGAAAAACAAGAAAATATGACACCACCACAATAATTCTCAAGTACCAGACCCCATAGGGCAGGAAACCCTTGAAATGATTGAAAAGGAATTCTGAGCAACAATCCTAAGGAAACTCAATGAGATATACTAAGATTCAGTTAGACAAAACAATGAAGTGAGAAAAACTATCCAGGATATGAAGGAGGAAATTTACAAAGTGATCAATAACTTAAAAAAGAATGTAGCAGACCTCCTGGAAGTGAAGGATTCATTCAACAAATTTAAAAAACACAAAAGCTAGAGCAAGCAAAAGAAAAAATTTCTGATCTTAAACAGTCTTTTCCAAACAATGCAGGCAGACAAAAATAAAAAGAATCAAAAAATAAATGAAAATCTAAGATAGCTAGCAGATAACCATAGGCACACAAACATCCAAATCATGGGTGTTCCAGAAGGGGAGGAGAAGGGAAAAGACATTAAAAACGTATTCAATTAAATTATAATGGAAAACTTCCCAGGGATAGGGAGAGACATGAACCTTCAGATCCAGGATTCTCAAAGATCCCCCAAACAGATTCAATTCAGAAAAGTCCTCCCTGAGACACATTGTAGTCTAACTGGCAAAACTAAAAGACAAAGAGAGAATCCTAAAAACAGCAAGAGAAAAGCATCAAGTCACCTATAAGGGAATCCCCATCAGACTTACAGTAGACTTCTCAAAAGAAACTCTACAAGCCAGAAGAGAATAGGATATATTCAAAATAATAAAAGAAAAAAACTGCCAGCCAAGAATACTATACCCAGCAAGACTATCCTCCAGAAATGAAGGAGAAATAGTGTATTTCCCAGACAAACAAAAACTGTGGGAGTTCACCACCACATGACCAACACTATAAGAAACTTCAAGGGAGTTCTGCATCTAGAGTCCAAAAAACAAAAATCACTACATGAATAAATAAGAAAAACAAACCCCACTGGTAAAACATAAATGCAAAGGAGAAAGAGAAAGAAACTATCATACCACCTCAAAAAACTAACAAACACTGAAGATAAACAATAAAAGGTAAAGAAAGGAACAAAAGATATTGAAAACATCTGAATGAAATATAAAATGCCCGGGGTAAGACAATACCTTTCAATAACAACCCTAAATGTAAATGGATTAAATTCCCCACTCAGACACAGACTGAATGACTGAATTAAAAATCTAGATATAACTATATGCTGTCTATAAGAGACTCACCTCCCCTGTAAAGACACACACAGACTACTAGTGAAGCAACGGAAAAACATAAACCACACAAATGGAAACCAAAAACAAGCAGGAGTAGCTATTATATCAGATAAAATAGACTTTAAACCAAAAACTATAAAGACACAAAAAAGACCATTTAAATGATAAAGGGATCTATCCAGAGAGAAGACATAACAATCATAAATATATATGGACCCAACACTGGAGCACCCAGATATATAAAAGAAACAGAATTAGACCTAAAGAAAGAGGTAGATTCCAATATGACAATAGTTGGGGACCTGAACACCATTCTCTCAGCACTGAACAGATCATCTAGGCAACAAATCAAAGAAAGAGTTTAAATTACACTTTAGAGTAACTGGACCTGGCATATATCTACAGAACATTTCATCCAACAACTACAGAATACACATTCTTCTCATCAGCACATGGAACATTATCCAGGATAGACCACATGTTAGGTCACAAATCAAGTCTTAACAAATTTTGAAAAACTGAAATCATTTCAAGTATCTTTTTAGACCACAACAGATTAAAACTAGAAATCAATAAAAAGTGAAACTCTGGAAACTATACAAATACACAGAAATTTAGCAACATGCTCCTGAATGACCCATGTGTGGGTCCAAGAAGAAATTAAACAGAAAATCAAAAAATTTCTTGAAACTAATGAAAATAATGACACATCATACAAAAACCTTTGGGATACCACAAAAGCAGTACTAAGAGGGAATTTTATTGCAATAAATGCTTACATCAAAAGAATAGAAAGATTTCAAATAAACAACTTAATGCTACCCCTCAAAGAACTGAAAAAAAAAAAAACAATCCAATCGCAAAAGTTGTCTGTGGAAAGCATTAACTAAGGTCAAAGCAGATTTAAATGAAACAGAGACCCCCAAAATGATATAAAAGATCAATGAAATGAAAAAGTGTTGGTGTTTTTTCTGAGAAGATAAACAAAATAGACCAACCATTAGCTAGGCTAATTAAGAAAAAGGAAAGAAGACTCAAATAACAAAAATCAGAAATGAAAAAGGAAACATTACAACCAATACCACAGAAATACAAAGAATCATTAGAGACTACTATAAACAACTATATGTCAACATATTTGAAAACCTGGAAGAAACAGATATATTTCTGGACACGTACATACTACCAAGACTGAACAAAGAAGAAATAGAAAACCTGAACAGACCAATAACAAGCAACAAGATTGAAGCAGTAATCAGCAGTCTCCTAACAAAGAAAAACCTAGAACCAGATGGCTTTACTGCTGAATTCTACCAAACCTACCAAAGTGGAATTAATACCAATTCTCTTCTACTCCAATAAATTGAAACAGAGGCCATTCTCCCAAACTCATTCTATGAGGCCAGCATCACCCTGATACCCAAATCAGACAAAGATACAATAAAAAGAAAACTACCAGCCAGTATCTTTGATGAACATAAATGCAAAAATCCTCAACAAAATATCAGCAAACAGAATACAGCAACACATCAAAAAGATTATACACCATGATCAAGTGGGATACATTCCAGGGATGCAAGGATGGTTCAACATATGCAAATCAATAAATGTGATATGTCACATCAACAAAATCAAGAACAAAAACCATATTATTATCTGAACAGACATAGAAAAATAATTTGACAAAATTCAACATCCCTTTATGACAAAGACTCTCAGCAAATTAGGTATAGAATGAAAGTATCTCAACACAATAAAAACCTTTACAGCAAACCCACTGCCAATACCATACAGAATGAGGAAAAGCTGAAAGAATCAGGGAAATACAAATCAAAACCACATTGAGATATCATCTCACCCCAGGCATAGAAAGAGGAAAAGCTGAAAGCTTTTCCTTTAAGAACAGGAACCAAGACAAGGATGCCCACTCTTACCACCCCTATTTAACAAAGCATTAGAAGTACTAGCCAGAGAAATCAGGCAAGAGAAAGAAATAAAGGGCATCCAGACTGGAAAAGATGAAGTCAAACTGTCCCTGTTTGCAGATGACATGATCCTATACATAGAAAAATCTAAAGACTCTACAAAAGAACTCTTAGAGCTGACAAACAATTTCAGTAAAGTGGCAGGATACAAAATCAACACTCAAATATCAGGAGCATTTTTATACTCCAATAACGAACTAACAGAAAAAGAAATCAAGAAAGGAAGCCCATTTATAAGTCACCAACAAAAAAAAAACACCCAGGAATAAATTTATCCAAGGAGGTGAAAGATCTTTACAACAAGAATTACAAATCACTGCTGAAAGAAATTGATGAGGCCACAGAAAGATGGAAAAAATATTCCATGCTCTTGGATTGTAAGAATTAACATTGTGAAAATGTCCAAAGCAATCTACAGGTTCAATGCAATCCTCATCAAAATACCAATGACATTCTTCACAGAAATAGAAAAAGGGCTGGCCCAGTGGCGCACTGCTACACTGCGCCGCTTGGGAGCGCGGTGGCGCTCCCGCCGAGGGTTCGGATCCCACATACAGACCGGTTCCCGCTCACTGGCTGAGCGAGGTGCGGGCA